CTACTACTACTACTACTACTACGACCGCTACAACCACGACGACGACTACTACTACTACTACTACTACTACTACACTTACTACTACTACATCTACTACTACTACATCTACTACTATTACTACTACTACTACCACTACTACTACTAATACAACTACTACTACTACTATTCCTGCTACTACTACTATTACTACTACTACTAATACTACTACCACTACGACTGTTACCGCTACTGTTGCTACTACTACCACTACTACTACTACTACTACTACTACTACTACTACTACTACTACTGCTACTACTAGTACGACTACTACTACTATTACTACTACTACTTCTTGTTCTCTCACTACTACCACTACCACTACTAGTAGTACTACTACTACTACTACTACTACTACTACTGAACGACTACTACTACGCCGGGAAACCAACTGCTACTACTACTAATACAAATAATAATACTACGGTTTACTACTACTACTACTACTACTACAACTACTACTCACTACAACACACTACACTACTACTACTAACTACTACACTACGACCTACTACTACTACTACTACTACTACTACTACTACTACGACTACGACTACGCCTACGACTACGACTACGACTACGACTACGACTACTACTACTACTACTACTACTACTACTACTACTACTACTACTACTACTACTACTACTACTACTACTACTACTACTACTAATACGACTACTTCTCCTCTGTCCTCTGTCCTCTGTCCTCTCCTCTCTCCTCTCTCCTGCTCCTACTTAAAAACCGAACTTGTGAAAATCCGGGTTTCCTCTCTCCTCTCCTCTGTCCTCTGTCCTCTGTCCTCTCCTCTCTCCTCTCTCCTCTCCTCTCCTCTCCTCTGTCCTCTGTCCTCTGTCCTCTCCTCTCTCCTCTCCTGTTCCTACTAAAAACCCAGACTTTCGAAAGTCCGGGTTTCCTTTCTCCTCTCCTCTGTCCTCTGTCCTCTGTCCTCTCCTCTCTCCTCTGTCCCCTGTCCTCTGTCCTCTGTCCTCTCCTCTCTCCTCTGTCCCCTGTCCTCTGTCCTCTCCGCTCTCCCTTGTCCCCTGTCCTCTCCTCTCTCCTCTCTCCGCTCTCCTCTCTTCTCCTCTGTCCTCTGTCCTCTCCTCTGTCCTCTGTCCTCTCCTCTCTCCTCTCTCCTGCTGCTACTAAAAACCCGGACTTTTGAAAGTCCGGGTTTTTAATTGCAGAACTTCCCAAAACCCGGACTTTTGAAAGTCCGGGTTTTGATTTTTTGATTTCCGGGCTTTTCTCCCTCCCCCTCCTCCTCCTCCTCCTCCTCCCCTGCTCCTCCTCCTCCTCCTCCTCAACCAACTCCTGCAGTCCTCCATCCTCGATCTCCTCCTCCTCCTCCTCCTCCCTCCTCCTCCTCCTCCTCCTGCGCCTCCTCCTCCTCTCCGTCCCTCCTGCCTTCTCCATCCTCGTCTCCTCCTCGCTCTTCCGCCCCTCCTCCTCCTCATCCTCCTCCTCCTCCTCGTCCTCGCTCCGTCTCCTCTTCTTCGTCCTCGTTCGTTCTCGTCCGTCACCTTCTCCCCCTCCTCCGCTTCTCCTCTTTCTCCTCCTCCTCATCCTCCTCCTCCTCCTCCTTGTCTCCTCTTCCTTATCTTCTCGTCCTCCCCAATTCCTCCTCCAATTCCTCCTCCCTCCTCCTCACTCCCTCCCCTCCCTCCCTCCTCCTCCTCCCCCCTCCTTCTCACTCATCACCTCATCTCAGCATCATCATCATCATCATCATCATCATCATCATCATCATCTCATCATCAATCATCATCATCATCGTCATCGTCATCATCATCACCATCATCAGCATCATCATCAGCATCAGCAGCATCATCATCATCATCATCAGCATCATCACAGCATCACATCATCATCATCATCAGCAGCAGGCATCAACAGCGCAGCAGCATCATCACATCATCATCAGCATCATCATCATCATAATCACATCGTCATCATCATCAACCATCATCATCATCTCATCATCATCATCATCATCTCATCGTCAGCATCATCATCATCATACATCATCATCATCATCCACATCATCACATCATCACATCATCATCATCATATCGGTCCTCATGTTCCTCCTCCTCCTCCTCCTCCTGATCATCATCATCATCATCATCATCATCATCATCATCACCATCATCATCATCATCAACATCATCATCATCATAATCGACATCATCATCACCATCATCATCATCAACATCAGCATCATCATCATCATCATCATCATCATCATCATCATCATCATCATCATCATCATCCGCATCATCATCATCATCATCAGCAGCAGCAGCATCATCAGCACCATCACTAGCATCGTCATTATCACCATCATCATCATCATCAATATCATCATCATCATCATCATCATCATCATCATCATCATCATCATCATCATCGTCATCGACATCATCATCATCGTCATCATCATCACCATCATATTCACCACCATCATCATCATCATCATCGTCGTCATCATCATCATCAGCATCAGCATCGTCATCATCATTATCATCATCATCATCATCATCATCATCATCATCATCATCATCATCATCATCATCGTCAGCATCATCATCAGCATCATCATCATCCTCATCCTCATCCTCATTCGCATCCTCGTCCTCCTCCTCGTCCTCCTTCATCCTCCTCTTCCTCGTCCTCGTCCTCGTCCTCCTCCTGCTCCTCCCTCCTCCTCCTCCTCCTGCGTCCTCCTCCTCCCCTCCTCCTCCTAGTCCTCATCCTCCTCGTCCTCCTCGTCGTCCTCCTCCTCCTCCTCCTCCTCCTCCTCCTCCTCCTCCCCCTCCATTTCTTCGTCCTCGTCCTCGTCATCGTCCTCGTCCTTGTCATCCCCTCCTCCTGCTCCTCCTCCTCCGCATCCTCCACCTCCTCCTCCTCCTTTTCCTCTCCTCCTCCTCCTCGTCCCGTCCTCCTCCTCCTCCTCCTGCCTCTCCTCCTCCTACTCCTCTCCGCCTCCTCCCCCTCCTCCCCCTCCTCCCCCTTCCTCCCCCTTCCTCCACAATTACTCAAAATGAATACTACTCTCCCTCTTCCCCTGATGGCGTCCTGGGAATATTCGACCCCCCACCACTTAGGTCGCGCCACAGCTATTGCACCACGGATATTGTGCATCCAGTGTGCAACAACGCGCTGGCTGTCTTGGAACCCTCCTGGGTCACCTTACCAGCATCTTGTTGCCGTCTTCGACCTTGTTCAGCTCTTGAGGCCTTCTTTCGGGACCTCGTGGGGCCGTCGTGGAAGGCTATTCTGTCTCTGAGGCGTCTGCTGGCGTCCGTGTGGGAACCTTCCCGCGGGCTAGAGCGGCCAGGAGGTACAGGCATACCTCCACTCCTCCACCAGCCAGGTGACGTCACCGTAGCGAGTGACATGTATTGTGTCGCAAGCTGTTGTTTGAACTTACGCCCAACATTGTGAAGAACACGTGGTGGACCCGAATGCCACACACATGCTTTCCTCCGACGTGCCGATGGCTCCAATCAGCGGTTGTAAACAACGGGGTTGCTCGCAGAGCGAATAATCGATCGCGGACATGCGCTTAGAACTGAAGATCGCAGCACACGTCGAGCCAGGTTCAACGTTTGGAAACAGCAGCATGCGGATTCAGCACAAATGTAGAGATGGATATGCACGGACATATGTATGCATATATGTATACTTTTGTGTGTGCAAGCATACATATGCAGAGAGGTAGAGAGAGACATCATCCCAGTGTGACCCTACCTAGGAGTTGGAGCCCCTAGGAAAGCAGCATTAGTATTAACAGTAAAACTAAGCTAAAGCTGACCTAAAGCTAAGCTACATCTAAGGTAAAGCTAAGCTAAAGCTAAGCTAACGCTAAACTAAAGCTCAGCTAAAGCTAAGCTTCAGCTAAGCTAAAGCTAAGCTACAGCTAAGCCAAAGCCCCACGTCTCCCCGACAAATCTGAGGCCTCCTCCTCCTCCTCCTCCTCCTCCTCCTCCTCCTCCTCCTCCGGCGCGACCTCGAGGGTGCGCGGCGCCCGGGGCTGCCGCCGCGGCCTCTTGAGCCAGAACTGCCGCGGGGCCCCGCGGGGCTACCCCATCTGGGGCCCCATGAGGGGTCTTTCAGGGGCCTCAGGGGCCCCCTTTCTGCAGCCCTCGTTCCCCCACCAAAAAAATCGTCGCCTCCCCCCCCCTCTCCTCCCCCCCCTATCCCCCCCCACCAAAAAAATCGCCGCCCCCCCACCCCCCCCCCCGCCGCCCAATCCCTGGTCGCGGATCTTCTGCCCGGGTCAATCCAGACCCGGGTCAGTCAGGCCGTGCAGAATCCTGCCATGCAAGATCCTGCACCCAGACCCGGGTCAACGCGAGGGATCCCGCAAGATCCTGCACCCGAGCCCGGGTCAATGCGACCCTGGCCCTGCAGGATCCTGCAAGATCGGGCGCCGCTCTGGCCCCAGACCCCCGACGTAATGATTTTTTGATTACGTCGACCCCCAGAGGTCCCGACCCTTTCCCCATGACCGGCTTTGCATCCTGAGCTGTTTTTGACGCTCCCGAGGCCCGGCGAGGGCCCCCGGAGGCCGAAAATAGCGAAAAACCTCCCGTCGTGTTTTTTTCACAACGCGAGGAGGTCTGGGGCTGACCCCTGTTTGCATTGACCCCAGCTCCCGACCTTGGATCTAGCTGTCCTTCCGGGGCCGTTTTCTGATGGCCCCCGGGCCCAGCAGGGGCTCCCCGGCGGCGGAACACGCAGCCCAGGGGCTCCCGTCGTGTCCTCCGCCGCCACGAGGCCCAGAGGATCCCACGCTGCGAGGAGAGTGCAACATCGCTGGACAGGAGGACGAGGAGGAGGAGGAGGAGGAGGAGGAGGAGGAGGAGGAGGAGGATGAAGAGGAGGAGGAAGAGGAGGAGGAGGAGGAGGAGGAGGAGGGGGGGAGAAGGAGGAAGAGGAGGAGGAGGAGGAGGAGGAGGAGGAGGAGGAGGAGGCCCGTGTTTCTGCTGCTGCGCTTTTCGAGCCCGGTCGATCTGCGATGGCCCCGGGGCCCGAGGCTGGGGGCAGCCAGCGCCCGGCTCGAAGCAGCTGCTGCGCCGAGGGCCCCGACGACCACCCTCCCCCCAGGCCCCGCCCGCTTCCCTGGCCTCAAGTATCCGCCGTGCTCTGGTTGATCTTCAGACTTGACACTCTGTCTGGAATGCGCACGAGGCGAAGAAGGCAGGGCGCAACTCGCCGCCTCAACAGAGCAGGGCGGAGACCGTCGCAAAGGGATGGCGGAAGCAGCGGCGGCAAAGTAGGGCGGAACTCGACCTCGAAAAGAAATGACGAATGGGGCGGGAAATTCCGCCCTACGTGCGAAATCGCGCAGAAAGCACGGCGGATTCGGAGCCAGGGTCCCCCCGACGATAACCCCCCTGGAGCAAGGACCGACCATCCTGGCATTCCTAAAGGCCTCCCACGACATGCTAAGCAACTGAAATGTTCTAATATAAAAACCAGTTTTCTCAGAACGTAGAGCAGATGCATATACAAAAAAACGGTCTCAGCCAGAAAGGTTCTAAGAGCAGTTCGTGCAAACCGAAGAAACAAAAAACATCCTTTTGTGGGCCTATATGCAAGTGAGGACGCTTCGCCACTGCTTGACCCCCGTCGCACCTGGGCCCGAACGCGCGGGACGACCTCGTTCCCTCTCCTCCTCGTTCTCCTCCTCCTCCTCCTCCTCCTCCTCCTCCGCCTCGTCCTCCTCCGCCTCCTCCTGCTCATCCTCCTCCTCCTCCCCCGCCTCCTCCTCCTCCTCCTCTTCTTCTTCTTCTTCCTCGTCCTCCTCCTTCTCCTCGTCCTCCTCCTCCTCCTCCTCCTCCCCCT